AATCATATTCTTTGTAAAGCTAATCAGTTCCATCACTTTGTACATTCTACAATGTTCATATTGTTTCAAGACAGTTCTCAACTCTCTCTGCTCACAATGATTATTTCTTTACAACATTTTTATGAGCCTTGGCTGTACATGCAGTAGAGTGATCAGGTCCTCGCTGGTTTTAAACAGGTTTACACTCTGAAGAAGTCATTTCAGGCTGGAAACATTAACTCTGTTTTTCTTTCCAGAAATGCTGCCAAATCTGCTTAGTTTCTCCAGCACTTTCTGCTTTTATTTCAGATTTCCAGAACTGCAGATTTATGCTTGACTTATGCTGTGTTGATTGCAATCAATTCTCTCTAGGGTTAAATAACTCCTTTTTTGCATACATTGTAATGTCTGCCTTTGTAGTTTTAATTGGTCTCGATTTTGAGTTTGTGAAGTACGCCTCATCCCCTTTTGGTGCCTGCAGCCATGTTTCATCCCTGTATCTAGCTGGCTATTGATTTCTATATCTATACCATACTTCACCACATTAGTTGGAATGCCTAACTAAGGAGGCTGCAGCTGTTTGCACTGTTTACTGGATAAATTTAAGAATATTATCAACCCAAGTGTAACCCTGTTCACTTTGTCTTCTCTCTGCAGTTGGCAAGGTTTCATTCAATGACATATACATTTTTTTGACAGTCTGTCTCTCTGCAAAGTTAGTTCTCAAGGTTTTATTTGTTGGTTGAAAAGGATCAGGGAAATCATAAGGCCTGAGCTGCACATATTCTGAGGGGATTGAAATTGTGGAATGATACTGTCAATGTATACAATTTTGTGCAATGATTTCCGCTTTCACAAAGTACCGAAGCAGTGTTCATGTCATGGAACACAACAATGCTTTATTTCCGCATCAACTGCTCATTCTGAGGCTTTCTTTATGACAGAAATATCACAAGTGAAAAAAAAACAGGAACCAGTGCTGCTGGACTGTGCTGCCGACTGCATCACACCCTTTACCTCAAGCATATTGTAAACTAAAACCAAGTCTTCTGATCTGGATCAGAATCCCATCTTCCTTTCTGATCCAGAGTGCAAGGGTAGGGTGGCAAGAAGGTGGAGGATCAGTCTCAGGTGTGGTGTCTGGAGAGGAGTCATGAGTTGGGGGATGCTGCAAGTTCTATGGTGTGACAGAATGACCGGTCCAGTGGTGGGGGAGTCAAGTCCAAGGTTCAGAGTGGGGTATGGACCTGGAAATATCAGATCCAGGGTATCTGGTCAGGGGATAATGGGGGTCAGGTCATAGGTGAGGTGCTGTTAGATCTGGGGAGTTTGATGTCTGAGGCGAAAGTGTTGTGTGCCCAGTGGTGCTGGTAACCATTGTTAGGTTGATGGGAGAGAAACATAGAAAATAGGTGCATGAGCAGGCCATTCAAACCTCTGAACCTGCTCTGCCATTCAATATAATCATGGCTGATCATCAAACTATGTCCCCTGTTCCCACTTTCTCCCTATTTCTTTTGATCCCTTTGGCCCTATGTATATCTAACTGGTTCTTGAAAAAAAAATCAATTGCCTGAACCGCTCACTGTGCAAAATACTGACTTGATTTACCACTCTGGGTGAAGAAATTTCTCCTCATCTCAGTTCTAAATGGCCTTATCCTAAAACTGTAACCCATTGCTTCTGGACTCCCCAGTCATCCTTCCTGCATTTACCCTGTCTAGACCTGTTAGAATTTTATATGTTTCAATGAGGGTACCTTATGTTTTTAAACTTCAGTGAATATATTTCCAACTGATCCATACCAATAGAATCATTCAGCATAGAATAGATCTTTCAGTCCAATCAGTCCATGTCAAATATAATCCCAAACCAAATGACTCCCACCTGCCTGCTCCTGGCCCATATCCCTCCAAACTTTTCCTATTCATGTACTTATCCAAATGTCTTTTAAACATTGTAATTATGCGCATAACCACCACTTCCTCTGGAAGTTTATTCCACATGCCAACCACCCTCCATGTAAAAAGGGGTGCCCTTCATGTATTTTTTAGATCTCTCTTCTCCCAACTTAAAAATGTGCCCCCTACTCTTGAAATCCCCCATCCGAGGGAAAAGACATCTCCCATTAACCCTATCTATATCCCTCATGATATTATAAACTTCTATAAGGTCACCTCTCATCCTCCTATTCTCCAGTGAAAATAAGTCCCAAAAGATCCAGCCCTTCTTTATAACTGAAAACCCTCCATACCCGGCAACATCCTGGTAAAATGTAGCTTTCTCGCCACTGGTCCTCCATCTACACGTTTGGGCAGTGTTGCCCATGCACCAATCACAGGCACTTCCAAATGCTGAAGGTCACAGCAGGTCCAGGTGGGTTGAGACATTGTAATGCCATGATGTGATGCAGCAGAGATCCCACCGCATTACCATGTAGTTGCCTGATAGTATTCCATATCAGTGTCTTTCTTGCTGATGGTGGTGAGGGAATGTCTGCTCCCACACTTTAAGGATATATTAGAAAAAAAACCCTGGCCTTGATCTTTGGCCTCTCTGGGGTCTCCTCTCTGCAGCATTGTCAATACTGCTGCCTCTCTTTCTTTCCTTCACCGTCTTCCCTGAATATTTTGGACTATGTTTCTGTTATCACTGCCCCATCGTATTCCCACACAACTGGAGAAATTTTGGCTTAATTGCCCTTTGTGTCTCTATTGAAGTCATATCACATTAAGGTCTTTGTAGTCCCATCTGGAGAGAATACCTACAACTTCCGTGAATAAGATGGTAATTTTTTTGTTTGCATCATTCATTCTGAGAATTTTTAATATGTCCCTCATGCTTACAGAATGAGTTTTACCAACTGCGTCAAATAGAATTAATTAACTTAGCACATTGTTCATAATTTCCATTTATTGTTGAGCCAAACATTGCAATTAACTTTCCACATTAGAATTTTAATGTGGCATAAAATATTGGCAACAGTAAGTACCTGGAACATTCAAGATATACATATGATAAGCATTGCTTTAATGTAAAGATTTACATATACCTAGTAAAAATAGTCCTTCCATTTAACTGAACATTTCTTCAATTAACATAAATACAGTTAAATTATTGATCAATAGACCAAAATTTATTAAACAAATTTTTACATTAACAGTCACTACACTCCAAATAGAATCCATTATGTGCCAACATTTGAAGTGTTGCTATACAAACACAAATATTTTAAACATTTATGCAAGTTATCATACTTCTTATAAGAAACTGCAAAGATCCTTGATACAATTGTAGAAAAGAACTGTCAACCATGCGTATCTGAGTGACTGTGACCTTAGAATTATGCTGTGCACTGTCAGAGTACAAATGCTTAATGTATTCAGATACCAGTTCTTCGATCTGCTTTTCTAACACTGGAAAATGAGAAAGCATCTTTGGTGAAATAATACAGATAAGTTGATGTTAATTTGTTCAGTATTAAATGCTAAATTGACAGAGTAGTTTCAAGCTCCATTTTTGCATTTGCCATTCATTAGAAATTTTATGGTGATAATTTAGAACATATTGTTTTCAAAATTATCTGTTTCAACTTGTAAACATGTAGAAGTCAATACTTGTATGGGTAAAGTAGCTCTCATAATGGGAGATCATATTGTAAGGATTAAAAATTCCACCCAATCTTAAATGAAAAGACCTACGTATAACAAAAGTTTAAGTGCATATTTTTTCCATGTTAGTGCCGAAGTATGGGCCAATAAGCAGTACTATTTCAGCTTGTGCCCTGAAATAGTTATATTACAATCACATGGATATTTTCAAACTTTGATAAGAGTAAACTACTTTAAGAAACAGAAGTGTTTTGTCCTTCCTCTTAGTTATTTGATCACAGCAACATGCATTCAAAATTGAATCAGAGATAGTAGGAACTGCAGATGCTGGAGAATCCGAGACAACAAGGTGCAGAGCTGGATGAACACAGCAGGCCAAGCAGCATCAT